CTTGTCTTAGTGGCATTATTGCCTTGCTTCAGGTGATTAATATATATATATATATATATGTGTGTGTGTGTTGTAGCCTTGTTAGACACAAGAGAGGAATTGAGTTAAACAAATATATTAACACAAACAGTAATACAAACATATACAAATGAGAGTGTTACAGCAAGAATGTTCGGTCCCAGCGTCAGAGCTGACTTCTTTATTCGTACAATGGTGCAAAATGTGGCACAAGGCCAAAATGGGGAAAAGGACGGTCTTCATCTGTCTTAACTTTAAACTTAGCCAGCCACAAACACTGACCAAAACATACAATATTCCTAACACCAAAATAACGCATTCTTACTTACCTTTCTTACTACATTCACCATAATACCAGAAATAATACAATGTCTCTATGAAAATCTTAAATTGTCCTCATATGTACAATTCATTGTGTGTGGGGGGAATAAAACAACAATTTAAAAACTAGCCTCAATGACTATTTACAATATGAATACAATCTATTTACATGAAACTAAACTATGAAAGCTTGTATGCATAAATTTCAACTCGTCTTATCTGTTCATTGTTTCTTTCCAGTTAAACTGATATCTGATTGTTCAAAGTTGATAGTTAAATCAGGAAATCCCAGAGTTTTGGTACTGCTAGTATGTACCCAGGGTAGTTGTTACGTTGTAGAGTACTACTTATACTGAGCAATTCTTTATCTGTCTCTGGGTCGCCACTTATGACTTTTGCTCGGTGTTGTAAGCAGCGGACGATCCCTTTCTTTACGCTGTATGGATGGTGGGAGTTGAAATTGAGGTACTGTCCGGTGAATGTCGGTTTACGGTATACGGATGTCTTGAACCCATGCTCTGTTCGAGGTATTAGAACATCCAGGAATGGGAGTGTGTTGTTATTTTCTTTTTCTACTGTGAACTGTATCGAAGGTCTTATTGAGTTCACATGGTCCAGTAGAACCTGAACATCTTCCTGGTGTGGCCAGAGTATGAAGGTGTCATCTACGTACCTTAACCATATAGTTGGCTTTAGAGATATAGATTCTAATGCCATTTCCTCAAAGTAATCCATGTATACATTCGCCATATATCGACAGGATGAGGGCTTAGGAATGGGCTCGCCATTATCACCAGCAACACGAGGGGAAGCGGAAAAATCAGGCGTGGTTGACCACATATGGAGAGAGAAGGGAGATCACCGCCCTCTGTGGGATCAGGTTGAAATCATAAACAAAGAAGACCACTGGAAAATTCGTAAACTTAAGGAATCTGCACATATGCTAGGCCACAAAAATCTCCTGAGCCGACCAAGCATTGAAATGAATACAGTATGGGAACCAGTAATAAGGAGTGCCAGAGAAAAGCGATAATAACAACAAAAATTGCAATATGAGCTCTGGTAAAAACATGGAATGAAAACAGCAAAAAATGCAATATGAGCACTGGTAAAGAACGGTTGCTGAAGACATTAGGCTTATAATACCCAGAAATTCATACAATCAAGGACACATGGTACAGTGGATAAAGGCGTTAGTTAGATCCAGAGACAGGACCCAACGAGTGTGAGTTCAATACCTGGTTAAGGCAGTAGAGAATTTTCAGAGGTGAATTAACAGGCGATAACTGATAAATGGCATCCATTAAACATGGCACGTGTAAATAGTAAACGCTGTGATAAATATGGCGACAAAGATGAGGACAATAGTCCGAATAATGTGCATAATACCTCATCTCAGAAATATAGACAGACATTTTATAGTTGTTATATACAAATTAAATAGTCTGTAAATCAGGAAAAAATCTAAAAAACAAATCACTTTTGGTCTCAAGAATTTCGAATAAAGGATTTCAACCTATATATAAAGGATTTCAACCTATATATATATATATACCCGACCCGACATAGGAAAGATCAGCCAAAAGGATCCTGGAAAAAATTACCTGCCAAATAAAAAAACAACTGGAATTAAAATTATGGATCAACACTAAAGATGTTATCAATTGGTTTAACTATATTGATGATAAACGGAATTGCACCCTTTTACAGTTCGATATCGTGGATTACTCCCCATCAATTTCGAAGGATATATTTATGACTGCCCTGGACTTCGCTGCTGTGTATTCTAACTTAACAAAGGAAGAAATGGATATAATCCTCAGCGCAAAGAAATCGGTCCTTGTTCATAATGGGGACCAATGGATAAAAAACAATAACGACCTGTTTGACATCACTATGGGATCGTTAGACTCTGCAGAGTCTTCTGACCTCGTTGGTCTCCTTATACTGTACAACTTAACGGCACACCGCGAAATTGATATTAAGGACATCGGGCTGTATAGAGATGACGGGCTCATGGTGGTGAGGAGTTCTACTAGTTTTTAAGATTGAAAAAAAATCAGAAAAATTATATTTAGTGAATTTAAGAAACTAAACTTAAAGATTACTGTCTCTTCTAATTTGAAAAGGGTTAACTTCCTCGACGTAACTCTAGACTTACCAGGCAACACATACCAACCTTATAGAAAACCAAATGCTAACCCTTTATACACACCCGAAGTCAAACCATCCTCCATCCATAATTAAACATATACCCTCATCAATAGAAAATAGAATTAGCATTAACTCCGCAAACAAGGAAATATTCCAACAACACAATGGCTTCTATAACACTGCCCTAAAAAATAGTGGTTATAAAAATGCTAACATTAACTATAGAGAAAATTACACTGGCCATAGAAACAAAAACAGGAAAAGAAATATCATTTGGTACACCCCTCCATTCAACCAAAGGGTTAGTATTAAACTAGGACAGAAATTCTTAGCTCTAATTGATAAACACTTCCCCACCAATAGTAAGCTTAGTAATATATTCAATAAGAACACCCTAAAATTGAGTTACAGCTGCTCTGATAATCTTGAACGTATAATAAAAAAACACAATAATAAGATCTTGAACAAACCCCCATGCCAAAACAGTATTAATAAAAAAAACTCTGCACTTAAACCAGACGATAAAAGGGAAAAATTATGTAACTGTAGAAACCTAGAAGACTGCCCATTAGAAAATAAATGTATTAATTCTGTGGTATACCAGTGTACTATTTCATCCACAGAGAGCCCTAGCACTAATATGATATACATTGGGTCCACGAAGAATAATTTTAAAGATAGATGGAGGCAGCATAAGTGCTCCTTTAATAATATAAACAAAAGAAATCAGACTTCACTATCAAAATATTTCTGGCACCTGAAGGAAACAAATAGAACACCAAAAGTTAAATGGAAAATCATTGATAAGGCTAGAACATGTAAAGCTTGGGATGACCCATGCCCTTTGTGCCTCCATGAAAAATTGCACATCATTAAACTTCTAAATAATAATAATCTATTAAATAATAGACACAAGTTAACGGTTTTTTGTAGGCATCATCAGATTTTTGGTTTGAATTATTAGTTAAAAAATAAAAAAATTATAATAACTTGTTTAACAAATAGCCCAATCTTCAGATTCATAGTAGGAATAATTAACTACAAACATGCATACAACATAACACCCTTCATAATCCATAGCCCAAATAAGTAGTTTAAATACCTTATATAATAGATAACCCTTATAAGTCGTCAAAAAACAAACGTTACGAAAGTTTTTCTTTTTTTATATGCACAATTCCTTTTCATAATAAAATAAAATAAAATAAAATAAATCTCCATAGACAAACAAACTAGACGAAGGTTAATACATCTTCCGTTTCATTTTAGACACCCCCACCTTTCCCCGACTTGACATCTTGAAAGTATCTCTATACCGCTACTTATTATTAACACCCTACACTCGCCTACCCAATTTAAACAATTCGCCCTTGCTGTTACCATGGAGATTTTGATTTCAATTTTTAAAACAAGTAAATTTCAGATATACGTTATTCCAACAAAAATTTCGCTTGAAGATGGAATTTTAATTTAAACTCAATTTAATTTAAAGGATTATATTGAAGTTTTCGGCTCTTGTTTTGAAACATGAGACCTCTTATGTAGCGATTTGGAACCATATTTTTAAATAAATATTATATATATATATATATATATATATATATATATATATATATATATTTAACTCTTGTTTCACGCTCACGTCGTTTGAGGATCGTTTTAAACTCGAGTTACGATTACAGCCAGCGTTTCATAGTATCTAACGTTGGTAAGCATTTTTAGCATGATCTAGACAATCTGGGCTTCGAGCACTTTACTGAGTAGGTAAGTTTGCCTTCAGGCCTTTTATTCTCTTTCTTTTTTCAGTATTGCCGTTTTTATTCGAGATTGCATCATTTAAGTTTTGGCAGGTTGTCAATTGGTTCCGCCAACGGTTATATATATATATATATTTATTATATATATATATATATATATATATATATATATATATATATATATATATATATATATATATTTTAATTATCTAATTAGTGCAATTGGATATTTTGGAAACGGAATAACGAAGAGTTGTTTCAGTTTTTAGATTCTATGTTGCATCGTCTTTATTGGCTGTGTAGACGTCACGAGTTCATTTTATGGTATACATACTTACATTTTAATGTATTTAAGTATGTGTATATGTATGTATCAATTTTGCTGTTTGGACACAGCTTATATACTTCATGGCGTCTGTGTGTTGTTTAATTGTCGAAATGTTAGCTTAATTTAAGCGTGCATTAAATAAGTGCGTACAATCGTGTATTTTAATTGCATGATGAATATGACGACTCTCGGAGTGATAAGGTAGATGTTTGGCATTTACATTCTTTCAAAATAGATTCTATGTTGATTATTTATTAATATTCCTCCGAAGTATTTTCTCCCCAATAGCTACTTCATTTAAAAATAAGTAAGGCTTAGTTTCTTTCTATGGATTCTTAAGAAAAGAATTTTGATGAAGCTAAATTAAAGAGCAAAACAGGCTCAATTTAAGATGTTCCTACTTGTTCCTTATTGACAATTATATGGAACTTAACCTATCTATCTATCTATCTATCTATCTATCTATCTCTTTCTATTCATATCTATCTATCTATCTATCTATCTATCTCATTCTATTATCTGTCTGTCTGAGTTTATTCATATCTATCTATCTATCTATCTATCTATCTCGGTCTATTCATATCTATCTATCTCGGTCTATTCATATCTATCTATCTCGGTCTATTCATATCTATCTATCTATCTATCTATCTATCTATCTCAGTCTATTCATATCTATCTCAGTCTATTCATATCTATCTATCTATCTATCTATCTATCTATCTATCTATCTCGGTCTATTCATATCTATCTATCTATCTATCTCGGTCTATTCATATCTATTTATCTATATATCTCAGTCTATTCATATCTATCTATCTATCTCAATCTATTCAGATCTATCTGTCTATCCATCTTTCTATGTCAATTCATATCTATCTATCTCTCTCTCTCTCTCTCTCTCTCTCTCTCTCTCTGTATATATATATATATATATATTTAAGCGTTTCACCCCAAGCAAGGCGAGAAGCCACTAGGACGCAAGGGGTTACAGAAAATTTGGAGCAAGATCAGATAGGAGTGATAGAAGAAAGGATGAGGAGAAGGGTAGTGGATAGATCAAGGCAACTGGAGATGTCAATTGACATTACATTTGAATAGCTGGAGATTATAGCTCTCAGGGAAACTGGAATAGGGAAGGGAGTTCCGCAGGCCAAGAGGTGCGAGACATGAAGCTATTGGAGTAGAAGATATTTACACACACATTTTACTCACGTTACGTTAAACTCTGTTCTATTCTCCTAATATGTTCATTTCTAACTCCGAATCGATAAGAACATAAACACTTCAATGGCTCCCTCTCACTTTATTTAACACCGTGAGTAGCTCGTCAAAGAGCTTGCCAAGCAGTTATTTTTCATTCTATTTAATGAAACACTTTTAAACGAAGGGTTGCTGCTTGGATATCCGAACGAGAGAACACCGCCAGATCTTTCTCTGTCTCTCTCTCTCTCTCATTCTGTCTCTGTCTCTCTCTCTCTCTCTCTCTCTCTCTCTCTCTCTCTCTCTCTTAACTAAACACATGCTGCCGGGCACTTACTCAACATCTACTCTTTTATCAGGCTATCTTTCCAGGTAAATGACTTTGGAAATATTTTCTGAAATCTTCGAAATTGGATTAGCTATCTACTGAGGTCAGGAAGTACTTTATAAGGGTACTCTATGGTACTGTCAACTCTGTTTTTTTTTTTCTCTCTCTCTCTCTCTCTCTCTATATATATATATATATATATATATATATATATATGTGTGTGTGTGTGTGCGTGTGTGTGTCTATGAATTTATATATATATATATATATATATATATATATTTATATTATAAAATAGAATAACATATGTATTTTTCCTTTTTTCCTCAGTAATTTTATAATTTTAGACTTAATATAGATTAAATTTAAATTTTAAAATGGGTAATTTCAAATTTTATCGTATAATTTAATATTTATTAGTTAGAATAAATTCTATTTTAGTCTAACCCCAACATTAAAGCATTAAATGATTATTATAACCTTAGTTCGTTGTCAAGTTTTTTGAATTCTCGTATACTTGTATTTTGATTAGCTAAACATAAACTAAAAGTTCTTGAAGCTATCTATATTAAAAAATCGAAACCAACCCTTAATAAAATTAATTATGAAAACTGCACAAATGTTTTCAAATGTTTACAATAGATAGTTTAAAATATCGAACTTTGTACCAATAATTCTTAATATTGTTTAAAAAAAAAACTTAGTTATTTTCCCTGAAGCATAACTCAGCTAATTTGCACTAAACTCAACGTTCTTCAATTGACAAGTAAAAAAATGTAACTCAGTTGAACACAACAATTTTGTCTTTGAAAATGATGAACACTACTAGTTTTGTCTTGATTAAAAAAATTACACCCTGATGATGACATTGTGCTAATGTCGAAAGTACTTGGAAAAAAAACAATATGTATCAACACGGTAATTTTCTAAATTGAAAATAAGTAGACAAACTTGTCTAAATCATCTAATTATCTAAAAAATGATGAACACTACTATATTTTTCTTGAAAAAAAATTACACCCTGATGATGACATTGTGCTAATGTCGAAAGTACTTGGAAAAAACAATATGTATCAACACGGTAATTTTCTAAATTGAAAATAAGTAGACAAACTTGTCTAAATCATCTAATTATCTAAAAAATGATGAACACTACTATATTTTTCTTGAAAAAAAAATTACAACCTGATGATGACATTGTGCTAATGTCGAAAGTACTTGGAAAAAACAATATGTATCAACACGGTAATTTTCTAAATTAAAAATAAGTAGACTAACTTGTCTAAATTATTCAGTTAAACATGTCTCAATGAAAACATGCTACCAAAATATACGCAATATATATATGTGTGCCTGTGTGCGCGTGCATGTGTGTGAGTGTGTGTACATTAGAGCACGTAGATGTCATCTACTTTCTGTCTGCCACTCCTTGTCAGTCTATATACATTTGAATAAACATTCCCATAAGCAATCATACACGCACACGCATATACACACACATATATAAACTCAAAGTTGCCTTTATAATTATTAATCGTATCAGTAGGTCAGCATTTATCTCCCTTTATCTGTTCAGCGGTCCATACGCTTTAAAAACAGAAAATTTAACACGTCCTAAAGCTTTGCCCAAAACGCCTTTCTGATAAACGAAAACTGTTTATGTAACACCAATCAAATTAGACCAAAAATGAACTATAGCTGCCCTGTCTGGGCTACTGATTCATGCTTTATCTTTACAAGAGTCAGATCAAAACAAAAATGGAGTATTGCTGTCATATCTGGGCTGGAGCTGTCCATATCCTTCCTTTCCAGCCTTGACAGACTTCAAAAGCGTTTACACGGCCGTGTGGGTGATAAATAAATTCCCACCCTAAAACATCTTTCTCACAGACGTATTTTAGCAAGCCTATCGCTATTTTCATGGGACGAATTCAGACAAGCTAAATTCTTTAATTCCATCAGTTCAGACAGTTAGGACGCACCATGCCACATACACAGTGTTGAGTCATCCGCATTCCCTTCATATTCCATTAGTAAAGATGAAGTTCCACTCAAAAAGCTCCACCCCAGTTAACTGTTAATTCGTCTCCGGGACAAATTTGGGAACTTTAAACAATGTCTAGCTTATTTCCAAGAAGTAGACGAGAAGTAATATGACAGACACCTGAAGAAGGTCGAACGATACAAGGGTCGAAACGTTATGAGGATAAGAACTTAGATAGGCATGCTGGTCCTAATATTAAGACAATCACGATGATGATACCTTCTCTGAAACATTCCGACATAGGATCATATTAGTATCCTATTATAATTGTGCTTGTCCATCCCTTCGTTAGTTCGCACGACCGTTACGTCCAGCCAATATCTAATAAATAATGGACTATTACATTTTGATCGCGTGGAAAGAGGGGAAAGACGCTACTTGGTTTCAGTAAGAAAATGAAAGAAAAAAAAGAAAGAAGGCAAGATAAAAGTGGAATGAGAGAATCAGATTAAGTTGGTAGGAACAGTTACTACACTTTGATCTTAGCCGAGAAGTGAAGCAATTGTATTTTGTTGCCGCTCCACATTGGAAAAAATTGACACAAAGTCAGTTTATACCAGCAAAATATAATAAAAGGTGGATCATTCTAAAAACTTTATTTATATTGATTGTGTAGAAATATATATCCATGAAAATGGTCTTTGGTATTCTTCGGTGTGGTTCCCACAAAATCATACGTGTGTCGTCTTTAGATCCCCACTTTAGTACATAAAACGCTATAAAAAAAAAAAAAAAGGACCATTTCTTTTTTGTTATTCGTTTTATTAAGGGTGGCAGCTTGGATTCTACGAAGCTGTAGGAGGAATGACGTCACAGGAGCGCATGTCGCAAGTGAACTCAGCGTCTCTCCGCGAATAGCCTTAGCCGGTTGCTAACCTCGTTGGGGGAGGCGTATCAACCCTTCAGAATTCTTCAAACCCTTTACTGAATTCGCGCTGTTTTTATCTTATATCGAAAGGCAAAGGCAATCCATCACTGTCTTAATGCCCCGCCCACAAGGCACTTCGGCCAATCGCTGACCATTCTGGGCTACGCCTTCGCATTCTGTAACACACGCCACATCATTACGATAGTGTTGTTATACGTATTTCATTTCACTGTTTTGCTATTCATTATATCGCATTTGTTAGTTGTATAGCAATGACTTTTTAATATGAGTGGACGGTAGGGGTAATGGATAGCGGCTCGGATTGAGGAATCAGAGAGCCGAGTTGAATTCCAGTCAAATCCATTACATTCACTTCCGTGCTAATACCCTTGGGAAAGGCATGACTCCTCTTCTTTCCCCCCCCAGCTATGGGTAAATAGCAGGAGACCGGGTTCTATACACTTGGATGGCAACTGGACTACCGGAGAAAGAAATGGCTACCTACTGCCGGAAAAAAAATCTGCCTCGTCAGTCATGTATCAGAAGATACATGATCGCCTAGGCGTGTATCACGCATAGCATGTTATGGTAATTTACCCACGCACGCATGGACTCTCCCAGCTATAAATAAGAGCAGGTACTGCTTTTTGGAGAGGGACGTTTCCAGCAGTCAGCTCTGGCAGTCGGACCGAACATTCTTGCTGTAACACTCTCATTTGTATATGTTTGTATTACTGTTTGTGTTAATATATTTGTTTAACTCCATTCCTCTCTTGTGTCATTATTTCTGCTCCTTAACTAGGCCACAACATGGCACATAACTGACTGAACTGAAAAAATGTAAGCATAACTGTCATAGCCCGGTCCCTTGTACCCCGGGTGATAGTACAATGTAGAACCAATAAAGAAGAACTCGAACACGGATATGGAATAACACAGATATATTACAAACAGGAATATATACAGAGAAGTAGAAAGTGTTAGTATGAACAATCAGGTTTAGTAGAGAGAACAATGTAGTCTCGACCAGTATCACTATTCCAATGTCTTGCAGTAATTGTATGAACGCGACTCTGTATCGGACTGCCTCTGACTCGACTCTTGACTCGACTTGAACTACTGACGATATTCAGTCACCCCCCCCCCACACACGAGGGTGTCATGTGGCACAAGGCCTTTTTAACGTGGGCATTCCCGAGCCATTAGGCTCGGCCAAAAAATAGCCCATTTGAACCCGTATAAACGGGTTCAGGGCCGGTTTTACCTCCCCGAAGGAGACTCGCCCAACTTTCTGAGCGAGTGTTCGGTTCAACTCTCTGTCTACGGACGGAGAGGAACCCGAAAGAGGCTACAAATAATAATAATGGACTATTCCATACTTAATAAATTCTGCGCCTCAGGAGTAGTATTTATTAAGTATGGAATAGTCCATTATTATTATTATGGTTAAGATCCCATAACAGTAATTATTATGAAAACATCTTTCTGGGAGTCAGGTTCACAAAGCAGCAGCCCTTGGGAAGAAACTGTCTGAATAGAACTTATTTGTTAATAATAGAATTGGAAGAGAATTAGGAGATTTACTCTTGTGTACATGGCATGGTGGGGCCCAGCTGCAAAGATCAAGGGTTGTGTAATCAAAGAATGTAGCTTGTTTGAACACATGCCATGGAAATAGCGATAGCGCAGTGAGAGACTCGCGACTTTTCGTTCGTGGGAAAGGGGTTGTAGGGTGGAAAAAAGTTTTTAAACTCTATCAAGACAGGCAAGTAAGGACTGGTAAACTCCATCCCAGATATGGTAGCAATGCTCCATTTTTGGAATGATCTAGTTCTTGTAAAGATAGAGCCAACTTACTGGATCGGTACAATGAACCAGCCATTTTTACAGCCATTAGACCGGATATATGAGTTCCACTTGAGGTCTGGGGAGAACTTGAGTCCCAATAAACGTTCAAGGCAAGGTACCTTCTTGAGAGAGAGCCCATGTATCATTCCACCATCTTTACCAATAGATCGGCTATATGAGTTTCACTTGAGATCTGGGGAGAGCGTGCATTCTAGTAGACAATCAAAGCAAGGTACCTCCTTGAGAGAAAACCTATGAATCATTCCACCATCTTTACAAATAGATCGG